AAATATCACGGATGCTTTATAAAATCATTGTGGAAAAAGAAACCGAAATGCCAAATGGCAGATCATCCCTGAAAAAATATTCTTTAAAAATTCCACGGCTGATTAGGCCCCTGAAAATATTCTTTAAAAACTCCACAACTGTATTGGACCCTGACAAATATTCTTCCACGCCTGTATTGGACCCTGAAAAATATTCTTAAAAAAAATCCACGCCTGTATTGGACCTTACAAATATTCTTCCACGCCTGTATTGGACCCTGAAAAATATTCTTAAAAAAAATCCACGCCTGTATTGGACCTTACAAATATTCTTCCACGCCTGTATTGGACCCTGAAAAATATTCTTAAAAAAATCCACGCCTGTATTGGACCCTGACAAATATTCTTCCACGCCTGTATTGGACCCTGAAAAATATTCTTAAAAAATCCACGCCTGATTAGGTCCCTGAAAAATATTCTCAGGTCTTTGATGGTCACTGAAAAAATATTCTTAAAAAATCCACGCCTATGATGGTCCTGAAAAAATATTCTTAAAAAATCCACGCCTATGATGGTCCTGAAAAAAATATTCTTTAAGAAATCCACGCCTATGGTGGTCACTGAAAAAATATTCTTTAAGAAATCCACGCCTATGATGGTCCTGAAAAAAATATTCTTTAAGAAATCCACGCCTATGGTGGTCACTGAAAAAATATTCTTTAAGAAATCCACGCCTATGATGGTCCTGAAAAAAATATTCTTTAAGAAATCCACGCCTATGATGGTCCTGAAAAAAATATTCTTTAAGAAATCCACGCCTATGATGGTCCTGAAAAAAATATTCTTTAAGAAATCCACGCCTATGATGGTCCTGAAAAAAATATTCTTTAAGAAATCCACGCCTATGATGGTCCTGAAAAAAATATTCTTTAAGAAATCCACGCCTATGATGGTCCTGAAAAAATATTCTTTAAAAAATCCACCCCTTTGATGGTCCTGAAAAAAATATTCTTTAAGAAATCGACGCCTATGATGGTCCTGAAAAAATATTCTTTAAGAAATCCACGCCTATGATGGTCCTGAAAAAATATTCTTTAAGAAATCCACGCCTATGATGGTCCTGAAAAAAATATTCTTTAAGAAATCCACGCCTATGATGGTCCTGAAAAAAATATTCTTTAAGAAATCCACGCCTATGATGGTCCTGAAAAAAATATTCTTTAAGAAATCCACGCCTATGATGGTCCTGAAAAAATATTCTTTAAGAAATCCACGCCTATGATGGTCCTGAAAAAATATTCTTTAAGAAATCCACGCCTATGATGGTCCTGAAAAAAATATTCTTTAAGAAATCCACGCCTATGATGGTCCTGAAAAAATATTTTTTAAGAAAACCACGCCTATGATGGTCCTAAAAAAATATTCTTTAAGAAATCCACGCCTATGATGGTCCTGAAAAAATATTCTTTAAGAAATCCACGCCTATGTTGGTCCTGAAAAAAATATTCTTTAAGAAATCCACGCCTATGATGGTCCTGAAAAAAATATTCTTTAAGAAATCCACGCCTATGATGGTCCTGAAAAAAATATTCTTTAAGAAATCCACGCCTATGATGGTCCTAAAAAAATATTCTTTAAGAAATCCACGCCTATGATGGTCCTGAAAAAAATATTCTTTAAGAAATCCACGCCTATGATGGTCCTGAAAAATTATTATTAAAAAATACACTCTCTTTTTTGGTTCCGGAAAAAATATTCTTTAAAAACTCCAAGCCTGTGTATGTCTTAATTATTTGGCATTACATAATATTTCTAACACCAACCCTCGTATTTATCTATTACTCTACTTGTATGTACCAAGTGGAACCGGTGTGAACAAGAAATCGTTGTTGGTTATAGTACTGCTTTTATATTTTTGACATTCGAAAAATAATCAAAAGTTTGCTATTGAACATTAAACTGACTCTGCAGACGAACCTGACAGGACCAAAATGTTATATTTGTCATGGGCCCTAACTTGAATTTGTATAGCAAAGTTTTTGATATTGAAGATGATTTTACGAATAAGATATATATTCGTCATAAACGATATAGACGGGTTCCACTGTGGTATAACCATAAATTATGTACATATATATTATTTTTCAAGATTTATCTCTACTGACCGTTATTTATTTTATTGACTGATCCTATTTCACTTGCTTTTAAATATCGATTATCGAACTTCAGCCGTGAACCCAACCAACCATATAAAATTATCATCAACAAAACAAAGCAAAAAATAACAACAAAACAGAACACTCTATTGTCTACTCTCATTCTCTAAGTATCTCTCATCTCTAATGGTTCACTAGAGAGTCATTAAAATCTAATCATGTGTGCCTTAGGAATGTATCCACACAGAAAAACACTTGACCAGATACTATTTTACCAATACGTCGACATAATCGAAATTGCATCGTGTTTATGGGGAGCAAAACAAACTTGTCATACCATCCAGCTCTCTGGAAAAGTAAACCTGTTGTATCTACTTGCATTGCATTTCAAATAAAAAAATACATGATTTATTTAGAGTATTCTCATTGTAATTCCCTTAACACAAATTGTTCTCTTAATAAATGTAGAGATGATAAGAGATTTACTCTTCTTAATACTACAGCTTTAACAAAAGTTGTCTTTGCATATATTTGAATGCAGCAACTGTTGGTCCCTGAAAAAATATTGTTTAAGAAATCCACGCCTCGCCTGTATTGGTCCCTGAAAAAATATTCTTTAAGAAATCCACGCCTCGCCTGTGTTGGTCCCTGAAAAAATATTCTTTAAGAAATCCACGCCTCGCCTGTGTTGGTCCCTGAAAAAATATTCTTTAAGAAATCCACGCCTCGCCTGTGTTGGTCCCTGAAAAAATATTCTTTAAGAAATCCACGCCTCGCCTGTGTTGGTCCCTGAAAAAATATTCTTTAAGAAATCCACGCCTCGCCTGTGTTGGTCCCTGAAAAAATATTCTTTAAGAAATCCACGCCTCGCCTGTGTTGGTCCCTGAAAAAATATTCTTTAAAATCCACGCCTCGCCTGTGTTGGTCCCTGAAAAAATATTCTTTAAGAAATCCACGCCTCGCCTGTGTTGGTCCCTGAAAAAATATTCTTTAAGAAATCCACGCCTCGCCTGTGTTGGTCCCTGAAAAAATATTCTTTAAGAAATCCACGCCTCGCCTGTGTTGGTCCCTGAAAAAATATTCTTTAAGAAATCCACGCCTCGCCTGTGTTGGTCCCTGAAAAAATATTCTTTAAGAAATCCACGCCTCGCCTGTGTTGGTCCCTGAAAAAATATTCTTTAAGAAATCCACGCCTCGCCTGTGTTGGTCCCTGAAAAAATATTCTTTAAGAAATCCACGCCTCGCCTGTGTTGGTCCCTGAAAAAATATTCTTTAAGAAATCCACGCCTCGCCTGTGTTGGTCCCTGAAAAAATATTCTTTAAGAAATCCACGCCTCGCCTGTGTTGGTCCCTGAAAAAATATTCTTTAAGAAATCCACGCCTCGCCTGTGTTGGTCCCTGAAAAAATATTCTTTAAGAAATCCACGCCTCGCCTGTGTTGGTCCCTGAAAAAATATTCTTTAAGAAATCCACGCCTCGCCTGTGTTGGTCCCTGAAAAAATATTCTTTAAGAAATCCACGCCTCGCCTGTGTTGGTCCCTGAAAAAATATTCTTTAAGAAATCCACGCCTCGCCTGTGTTGGTCCCTGAAAAAATATTCTTTAAGAAATCCACGCCTCGCCTGTGTTGGTCCCTGAAAAAATATTCTTTAAGAAATCCACGCCTCGCCTGTGTTGGTCCCTGAAAAAATATTCTTTAAGAAATCCACGCCTCGCCTGTGTTGGTCCCTGAAAAAATATTCTTTAAGAAATCCACGCCTCGCCTGTGTTGGTCCCTGAAAAAATATTCTTTAAGAAATCCACGCCTCGCCTGTGTTGGTCCCTGAAAAAATATTCTTTAAGAAATCCACGCCTCGCCTGTGTTGGTCCCTGAAAAAATATTCTTTAAGAAATCCACGCCTCGCCTGTGTTGGCCCTTAAAAAAAATATTCTTTAAGAAATCCACGCCTCGCCTGTGTTGGTCCCTGAAAAAATATTCTTTAAGAAATCCACGCCTCGCCTGTGTTGGTCCCTGAAAAAATATTCTTTAAGAAATCCACGCCTCGCCTGTGTTGGTCCCTGAAAAAATATTCTTTAAGAAATCCACGCCTCGCCTGTGTTGGTCCCTGAAAAAATATTCTTTAAGAAATCCACGCCTCGCCTGTGTTGGTCCCTGAAAAAATATTCTTTAAGAAATCCACGCCTCGCCTGTGTTGGTCCCTGAAAAAATATTCTTTAAGAAATCCACGCCTCGCCTGTGTTGGTCCCTGAAAAAATATTCTTTAAGAAATCCACGCCTCGCCTGTGTTGGTCCCTGAAAAAATATTCTTTAAGAAATCCACGCCTCGCCTGTGTTGGTCCCTGAAAAAATATTCTTTAAGAAATCCACGCCTGTGTGTTGGTCCCTGCTGAAATCCACGTCTCGCTTGTTGGTCCCTTATTCTTTAAGAAATCCACGCCTCGCCTGTGTTGGTCCCTGAAAAAATATTCTTTAAGAAATCCTCGATTGTGATTTTTTTTTGTGATTTATCAATTGATTTATCATTGAAACTTTCATTCATTCTCAATATGAATGTTCGTATATAGTATTGTATCGTGAATTTGTCTCCCGTTGTATTAACTTTAAATGCAAATATGTCAATCAACAGCATAAATGATTTCTCCATGTTCTTCACATTTTTAACTAGAATAGAATTTTATATTTTTCAACATTAATTCTTTGGAAAAATTATTCTATATGTATAATTATTAAGTATTACCAAAAAAAGAAGTAGAATTAATACCACAAGAAAAAAGGAAATTAACATACTAATTTTCTTTTTTGGGAAGGCAGGAAATGAATATGTATCCGAGAAACAATTTGAATTGATAGCTCTGTTTATTTCAAATTGAAATTTTTCATTATTTGCGCTGCAGCTGCATCCGAAGAACTGTCACCCTTCAGGGAGTTAACAATTTCGGAAAGGGCTGAAAGAAAAAAAAAGTAATAATTAAAATGTACTTCATTTTCATTAGTATGCAAACCTACCCTTCCTCTCCTCATTGGACATTAGCAATGACAAAATGGGCACCTGTTTATTTTTACTAACTTCCAGTAGAGTTTTAGCTAAGGTTGCATCCTTTGTCGGCAAATAGAAATCATGTAGTGTGCGTATGACATCGGTTAGGGTGTCGGAATCAAAACCAGCTCCCAGAATTTTACACACATTATTGGGATTAATACTTTTCAGATATTCATATTTATGTTGTGGTGATAACTCTTTCCAATTGGAATAAAATTGAGCAGAGGATATTGGAGCTTCTGGTAGGGGACGCTACAAAATATACAAATATTTTAAATAAATTGAGATTTGATAAAAAACTATCTTACTTACATTGTAGTTAATGTTGTCATCAACAATATTTGTTGTCAACTTGTTTACACTTTCAATTTTATTCGAATCTTGTTCTTTGGCCTCATTAGTTTTCTTAACTTCATTTTCTTTGTGTGCCTTTTCCGGTTGTGCATCCTTTGAAGTTGATTTCTCTTCTACATTTTCTTTATTTTCATTGTGTTTTATATTATCCTTATTATCCACTGCAACAGGTTTTGTTTGTTTGGCCGCAGCAGCAGCATTTTCTTTGGCCTTAAGTCTTTCTTCGGGATTTTTAATCTCTTTAATAACACCGCTATAACTATTAAACATCTTATCAATATCCTCATCTGACATTTTAAGACAATCATTATTTTTAATTTCTTTCGGTCCAACAACATCAGCAATTGGTATACGCTTTAAGGGTTTCGTAGAACGTTTATAGGCTGGCTTATCAATGGGTAAAATATCCACAACATTGCTACGCAGACTTGTGAAATTGGGACCTTTTGAGTTTTTCGCTGTGGAAAAAATAAGAAATGACTTTATTATTTGGAAATTTGCAATCATTTCAATTGAAATATACCATTTTTACGTAAGCGTTCGTTAATCCTTTCCAGGCTGCGATTTGCCTCACTGTTTTTGGGCTCAATCATTAGTACTGTAGTACAATCCTTAAGGGCATCCATATTATTGCCTAAGCACTCATTTGCCTGCATGCGACGATAATAAGCTTTCACTGCTAAATTATCGATTTCTGTTGCCCGATCACAATCGTCAATGCATTCGTCATATCTGAAATTATTGAAAGATTTTTAAAGAAAAACTCTTTAATAAGGCGAGGCGTGGATTTCTTAAAGAATATTTTTTCAAGGACCAACACAGGCGAGGCGTGGATTTCTTAAAGAATATTTTTTCAGGGACCAACACAGGCGAGGCGTGGATTTCTTAAAGAATATTTTTTCAGGGACCAACACAGGCGAGGCGTGGATTTCTTAAAGAATATTTTTTCAGGGCCCAACACAGGCGAGGCGTGGATTTCTTAAAGAATATTTTTTAAGGGACCAATACAGGCGAGGCGTGGATTTCTTAAAGAATATTTTTTAAGGGACCAACACAGACGTGGATTTCTTAAAGAATATTTTTTAATGGACCAACACAGACGTGGATTTCTTAAAGAATATTTTTTAAGGGACCAACGCAGACGTGGATTTCTTAAAGAATATTTTTTAAGGGACCAACACAGACGTGGATTTCTTAAAGAATATTTTTTAAGGGACCAACACAGACGTGGATTTCTTAAAGAATATTTTTTAAGGGACCAACACAGACGTGGATTTCTTAAAGAATATTTTTTAAGGGACCAACACAGACGTGGATTTCTTAAAGAATATTTTTTAAGAGACCAACACAGACGTGGATTTCTAAGAGAATATTTTTTAAGGGACCAACACAGGCGTCGATTTCTTAAAGAATATTTTTCAGGGACCAACACAAGCTTGGATTTCTTAAAGAATATTTTTTCAGGGACCAACACAGACGTGGATTTCTTAAAGAATATTTTTTCCTATATAGAAGACATTCTTCAACTATTCTAGAGCTGGAATATCTCTACCATATTTAAAATATCTTCTTAAATCTGATATCTTCCGTAGCTAGGAGACCTTCTTCTGCTCCTTGGGGAGAATCTTGTTCAGCTTTTGTTGACTCCTTACATATCTAAAAAAACTTTTGCAGCTCCTCTACAACTAGGAGATTTTCCTCATCTCTTCTTTAGTTACATGGTCTTCAGATCTTCTAGAACTAGAAAAACAACACCTACAACAATTTGACATTCTGTTGCTAAAATATCCTTTTATGTTATTCATTAGGTAGAAGTCCTTCTTAAGCTACTCTATAGCTAGTTTTTAGATGTAGGACGTACTTCAGTTCTTTTATAGATAAAATAATTCAATTATGACTGATATGTGCCAAGTTTCGTGAAAATCGGTTGAGATTTAGATATAACTCCCTTATATTATAGATTGATTTCAATAGACGCACCAAGGATCCAATATATGGTTGATAGGAACAAAACGTACTGAAATTAGTATAACCTAACCTGTGACAAGTTCCGTTGAAATCGGTTCATATTCGGATATAACTTCCATATATATTTTTGCCTCATGTTAGTCAGATTGACATCATATTTTGCACAATGTACAAAATTGAACATATAATTACGTAGTTGCGTTTTGTAGAAGTACAGACATAGCCCAACGTATGACCTATTGATATTTGTTTGAAGTCGATTCACAGTTAGATAAATATCACATATTTTATTTCCTCCAATTTAATGTTAATAGTCCTGTTTAATATACCCATAGTGGTGAAGGGTATCATATAGTCGGACTTTTCTACTTTCCTTACTGGTTTTCTATCAGTTCTCCCTTTAGTATTTTTACACTGCCCTAGTACATGTTTTCTATTTTGTTACTTTTAAATAAATATGTGACCATGGCAATAATAATATCGCAAGTTACTGTACCCTATCGACAAAAAAATAAATGCTATTTATTAATATTTGTTGTTTAACTATGTCTTACCTTTCCATTTTCAAATAGCACAATGCCCTATTGCTGTAATAAATCGCATCATCGGGATACAATTCAAT